TATCCCTTGGAGCTGGACTCCGACAAATGGTGCCGAAACCCGGGAACTCTTCGGTTGCTGTTTGAGACGCAAAAGGGATATTGCCGTCCCTTGCTGAAACCGCGGTAAGGAAAAGGGGAAATATCGAGGGACAGGACTGCGTAGCATATACAGACGTAGCAAAATGGGAAATGCTCAAAGTTCGGAACGACAGTTATTTGCTTCAATGCTTAAATCTTTATTAACCATGCGTGGTGTGAAAGTATCTATTAAGCGAATTCATGTGTTTTTAGAATTTATAGAGCTTGTATGTCCTTGGTTTCCTCGAGATGGAACCATAAATCTTGAAACATGGAACAGGGTAGGAGAAAGAATTCAGAGTTTTTATACCGTTCATGGTCCTGAAAAGGTCCCGATTGATGCTTTTCCGTTATGGTCCCTGATTAAAGAATGTTTGCGGGGCGACACAGGGGATGAGAAATGGTCGAGGGAAACGAGACGCCCCTTGTCGCGCTCTCGATCTTTTGGTCATTTACCTCTTACTCCCACAGCACCTCCTTTTGAGCTTGAACGAAATACGAACAATCAAAAGACACCTCTTGCTATGCATGTAAAATCGGAAAATCATTATGAGAATCCAGATTGCAATGGCAATATAAAGGCCAAACGAGAAGCTGATAAGGATGATGATAGTTTCATAGACCCTGATGACGAAGCCGAGTTAGAAGATGAAGCAGCTCGTTATCATTCAGATAACAATTGTAATCCTACTGTTGTACAAGGCACTCAGGTTCGCTCTCCGCAACCGCCAATAATTTTACCGGCTCTTGAGGCAGGCCGAAGACCTCCTCCCCCTGATATGTATGACTTACTACCTCAGCATTCTCCTTTGCAGATTGCCTTGTTATGAGCTAGACGAGAAGGGGAAGATGTTAGTGGATTTTCAAACTTTGCCTTTCCCATCACCTATACCCCACATCCCACACAGGCTAACGTTAATGTTGCCAATTGGACTGTAATTCCGTTTAAAAGTATTAAGGAATTGAAAACTGCTGTTTCTCATTATGGTGCCACCGCACCGTATACCTTGGCTATTTTAGAAACTATTGTTTCAGAAATTCTCCCTCCTCATGATTGGAAAGGATTGGCAAGAGCGGTATTAACTGGCGGAGACTTTCTTTTATGGACAGCTGATTTTTCTGAAAAATGTTCCCAATATGCGGAGAAGCCCCAATATAGGCAAAACGGTATTACATATGAACATCTTACCGGCACTGGTCAGCCAGCTAATTTGCAAGCGCAGATGGTGTATCCTGCTGCGGCCTATGATGCAATCAGAGAAATTGGGCTGTGGGCTTGGAAGCGTTTGCCTAAAGCTGGCACAGCACGGGAAGAACTGACAAAAATTCGACAAGGACCAGACGAACCCTATCACGATTTTGTTTCCCGTCTTTTGCAGACCTCTGCAAAAATAATACAAGATACTGACGCCGCCTTAATTTTAGTTAAAGAATTGGCCTTTGAGAATGCTGATGGGGTTTGTCAGGCAATCTTACGGCCTTGGAAACAAAAAGCTACTCTGAATGATTATGTTAGACTGTGTTCCGATGTGGGAATGGGATATGTCCAAGGCATAGTTACTGCGGCCGCCCAAAAAGGGTTACCAGTAGAGGAAGTTATGGCCGCCATGAGAGCCCGAAAGAATAGGCGAGTATCAGGGCCTCCTGGCAGTTGTTTCACGTGTGGTAAACTTGGGCATCAGGCAAGACAATGTCCTTTTAAACAAACACCACCTATTAATACTCAGGAAAAAATCCAGGCTTATGTCCAAAATGCAAGAAGGGAAAGCATTGGGCTAATGAATGCCACTCTAAATATGATAAGGACGGTAATATGATACCATCTCAGGGAAACTACCGAGCGGGCCTTCCCCAGGCCCGGTCAACAAAACAGGGGATATATCCAATTCAGGCTATTGTTCCTCACAATCGCAGCAGCCACAATCCATTCATCGGCTCATCCGAGCCACAGCAGGAAGCACCGGATTGGACTTGTGTTCCTCCGCCCACTTCATATTAACTCCTGAAATGGGAATACAAGCTGTCCCGACCGGTACCTATGGACCGCTTCCTCCTAATACTTGCGGGCTGATACTCGGGCGTAGCGGGTTAACCATGAAGGGTTTACGAGTCTCCCCTGGACTAGTAGATGCCGACTATGTTGGAGAGATTAAAGTTATGATGCATACTGACACGGCTATTTTTAACCTTCCACAAGGTACAAAAATAGCTCAACTTTTGTTGTTGCCTTTTTTATCTTCTATTGGACAATCTAAATCCAAGATTCGGGGGACAGCGGGCTTTGGATCTACTCACGTCTATTTTTTGCAACCGATTGGACACAATCGTCCTGAGTTACATCTTAACATACAAGGTAAACGGTTTAAGGGTTTGTTAGACACAGGAGCCGATGTCTCTGTTATGACCCACGAGAATTGGCCTGCCCTTTGGCCTTTACAACGGACATCTGCCAGTCTTAAAGGTATCGGAGTCACAAATTTGCCTTTACAGAGTGTGGAAATACTTAAATGGCATGACGATGAGGGTCACTCTGGAACAATTCAGCCCTATGTATTGGAAAAACTCCCTATAAATTTATGGGGTCGTGATGTTTTAATGCAAATGGGAGCTTATCTTTATAGCCCTAGTCCTCAGGTAACTCAAATTCTAGCCAATCAAGGATATCTTGGAGGGGGCCTGGGAAAGCATCAACAAGGTCAGATAGAACCCCTCCTAACTCAGAAAAATGGTAATATATGCCGATAAGATTTGTTGGAAAAATGATCAACCTGTATGGGTTGATCAGTGGCCCCTTACTAGGGAAAAATTGACAGCTGCAAGACAATTAATACAGGAACAATTGTCTTTAGGGCATATAGAACCTTCTGTTTCACCATGGAATTCGCCAATTTTTGTGATTAAGAAAAAGTCAGGAAAATGGCGTTTATTACAAGATCTAAGAGAAGTCAATAAGACCATGTATCCCATGGGAGCTTTACAACCTGGCTTACCCAGCCCCATAGCCATTCCCGAACGATATGAAAAGCTTATTATTGACTTAAAGGATTGTTTTTATACCATTCTTCTTCATCCTCAAGATAGACAGCGTTTTGCCTTTAGTGTTCCCTCTATAAATTTTGCAGAACCGATGCAACGTTATCAATGGAAAGTTTTACCACAAGGCATGGCTAATAGCCCAACTTTGTGTCAAAAATTTGTACATCAGAGTATTAGTATGACTAGAAAATGTTATCCCGACATTCTTTGTATTCATTATATGGATGATATACTTTTAGCTTCATCTTCTGTTGAATTATTGCATATGGCCTATGCCCATTCGGAATCACAATTGACTAAACACGGCTTAAAGATAGCTCAAGAAAAGGTACAACGCACTTATCCGATGAATTATCTTGGCTTTCAACTTTATCCAAAGTATTTTGTACCACAAAAACTGGCTCTTCAGGTCTCTAACCTTTTTACCTTAAATGATTTTCAAAAACTGTTAGGAGACATTAATTGGTTACGGCCTTTTTTGAAAATAAGCACAGCCGACCTTAGCCCTTTATTCAAAATTCTTGAGGGCGATCCAGATCCAACCTCTAAAAGAGAACTTACTGCCGCGGCTAAGGATGCCTTGAGACTTGTAGAACGGGCTCTCGAATCAGCTCGTTTAACTTATGCTGATCTGTCTAAACCATGGTCTTTGATTATTCTACCTACCCCTTTATCTCCAACCGGAGTTTTATATCAACAAGGTGTACTTTGTTGGCTACACGGTTCTCACAGTCAAAAAGGAGTTCTATATTCCTATCCTCAAAAAATCGCAGATAGGGTAAAACAAGGTCGAAAAGCAAGCATCACCCACTTAGGAAGAGACCCCTCATCTATCATTCTTCCCTATAAACCTTTACAATTAACTTGGCTTTTAAATATGGTTGATGATGTCGCTTTAGCACTGGCCTCATATTCTGGAGAAATCTTGTCTACATATCCACAAGATAAGATTCTTAGTTTTGCTACCTATCACCCTTTTGTTTTTCCAAATGTTGCGAAGGGTGCTCCCATTACAAATGCTACGACTGTTTTTACTGATGGCTCATCTAACGGTCGAGCAGTATTAGTCACCCCTACCCAAGAATTTGTTTGGACACTTTCACAGACCTCTGCACAAATGGCAGAATTATATGCTGTTTACCGAGCACTTTTACAAATTTCAACCCCCTTGAATATTTTTTCAGATAGCAAATATATTGTTTCCTCTTTACAATTTTTGGAAACAGTACCATTAATCATGTCTAAAGTGACATTCATTCAGCAACATTTTGGCCTTATCCAATCCCTTTTATACCAACGCCAACATCCTCTTTTTATTGGACACATTCGCAGTCACTCTAATCTTCCCGGGCCTCTGTCCCGTGGCAACTCTAAAGCGGATTACCTCACCCGAATTTTGACGTTTAACGTCACGAAAGCTAGGCATTTACATGATTTACATCATTTACCTGCCTCTTCTTTGCAGCGTCTTTGTCGTATTTCTCGGGAACAAGCCCGTGCTATTGTTCGCGATTGTTCTTCTTGTCTCTCTATGTTACCAGTCCCTCGTCATGGAATAAACCCTCATGGTCTTCTTCCCAATGATTTATGGCAAATGGATGTCACCCATTATCCGCCTTTTGGAAAACTTTCGTATTTACATGTTACAATTGATACTTTTTCTCATTTTGCTGTGGTTACAGCACTTTCCGGCGAACGGACTGCACATGTTATTACGCATCTTTTACACTGCTTTTCTATTTTAGGCATCCCTAAGACAATTAAGACTGACAATGGTCCTTCGTATATTAGTGCCCAATTTTCTGCGTTTTGTACTCAATTTTCTATTGTTCACAAAACAGGCATCCCATACAATCCTCAAGGGCAAGGCATTGTTGAACGTTTTAATCTTTCTTTAAAACAACAATTGAAAAAGACAAAAAGGGGGAGTATGGGGAATAAAGGACACCCCCGCTTCTCTATTATCACATGCCTTATTTGTTCTTAATTTTTTGACTGTCGATGTCGACGGTCAGTCGGCAGCAGATAGACGTTGGCAGAGTACACGACAGAATAAACCATTGGTATATTGGAAAGATCCAATAGATAATGTTTTGCGAGGTCCTGATCCAGTTTTAATGTGGGGCAGAGGGTATGTTTGTGTTTTTCCTACAGACGATTTAAGCCCTCGGTGGATACCCGAACGGTGTGTCCGCCATGCCAAAAACCCGGATGGGGAAATTGAGAAGAAAACTGCAGCGATTAACCCTGACCCCACGACCGACTCAACCAACGGAGATTCGAATCCCACAGTACCGAATTGAAAATTATGGTCTTTTATTGATCGTGCAATGGCCGAGTATCCTTTGGTTTTTGCAACGTGGCGCGCGTGCTGATCAGTATTGGGCCTTTATGTTATCGCCACCCTTGTTACATCCTGTTACATGGGAAGAGCCTCATGATATTCCTATCTATACAAATCAAACAACGTTTTTGGGATCTGAATCTAACGGTCATATCATTTCTTTTTCAACTAAATTTAACTATACTGGACAATTTCCTGCACATACGTTACCCTTTTGTTTTCAAAAAGGAACTAATATTTCTAATTGTGTTACTGTGATATCACAGCATGATTGGGATCATAATGTCAGTAGTGGTATTCATTGGGCTGTTGATTTTTTATATCCTAACATGTCTTTGGCAAAAGGTGGTTCAGGTAAATTTCCACCTGGAATTCCAATGTGTCGAACTCGAGCCTCTGCTTCCAGTTTAGCTCCCACTTGGAGACTCTGTCATGCCCCCAACATCACTTGTTCAGAACAGCTCTGTGACTAGAACATTTTAAAGGATAATAGACCTTCCAACTTGGCATCTGGTATTTGGACCAAGAATAACACAACATATTATACGCATCTATGGAGAGCTATAGCAGCCCTGGACATGATAAAAATAAGAAAAACGAACATCACCTGGACTGCACAACAAAATCAAATTTATGCTATGTCAGCTGATTCTAATATTTCACAAATATATGCCACTGCTTGTGTCCCAGATCCATATGTATTTTTAAGTGGATCTATTATGTTAAATCAAACTAATGGAACCTTAAGCTGTAATGGATGTATTTTAGCAAATTGTATTAACTCGACCGTAAGTAATTTTGTAATATTAAAACAACCTGCATATATTTTTATGCCGGTGAATTTGACCCACGATTGGTATTTTGATGGAGGAACTGAAGTACTGCAAATAGTTACAACACAGTTACTTAAACGTCAAAAAAGGGTTATTGGATTAATTATCGCCGGTATTTTAGCCTTAATTACCGCTATTACTGTTACCACGATAGCTACTATTTCTCTTAGTACTAGTATACAAACTGCTCACTTTGTAAATGGACTGGCAGCAAATGTATCTCTTGCTTTTCAACCTCAACAGCGATGGGATGAAAAAATGGAGCTTAAGGTGAACGCATTACGGGATACGATAGATATTATGGGTCGACAAATGCAAGCTTTAACTATTAAGGAATCTTTGCGCTGTCATGATGATTATAAATATATTTGTGTTACTCCAGCTAAATGGAACAACACTCAGTTTCCCTGGGATAAAATTCAAAAGCATATTGCGGGAATATGGAATAATGCTAATTCGTCTGTTGATTTGCGAGAACTACAAAAACATATTTTTGACCTGATGCAGGCGGAACCGATAACTCCAACATTGGCGCAAAAAGCCAAAGATTTTGTTGATACTTTAAAATCTAGCTTTCCTTCATTATCTGACTTTTAACATAGTGTATATGGATTATTAAGCATTGCTGGGATTATAATTATTTGTGTGATCTTGTGTCCATGTATCTTACAATTGTTGTTGTCTTCTCTAAGACAAATTAATGTGAAGATGAAAAAATTGCATCTAGAAATGACTAAACATGTCTCCACCCCACCCTTGGTATAAATAAAAGAAAAAAGGGTGAAA